CTTGTGGAAGAAGGGAAGAGCAATTGCTTTTTTCTTTGTCAAAGGAAGAAATACCCACTCTGCTCAGATGGAAGAAAGATGGAAAACTCATTTGGCAGCAGAAAGGCGAGGAAAAAGAGCTCGCTGAGCCCTGATGGCTCATGGGAGGCCTGGCCCAAGTATCAGCTGACTTTCCTTTTTAATTGCTGGGCAGTGTGAGGTGGCAAATCCAGTTTGGGGCCTGACATGAGGGTGATGAGTAAGTGCCACCTGGGTGTGGTGCAGAGGGAAAAGGCCACAGCTACTCAGGGCCCCTGACCTAGGCAGGAAATGCCCCCAGGAGTGGAACGAGGTGGCGAGTGTCCAAACATGCTGTCCCAGCACTTCCCACCCCCCAGTCCCCATCTATTCCCTCTTCCCTTCCCTGTCCAGGCCCTGTTCACCTGTAGACGTCCTTCCCAAGCTGGTTCAGGAAATCTTTCCCCAAATTCCATTTCACACCTTCGTTTATATATGATCACTTCTTTTCTGCACCATACATTTTAGCACTTAATTAGCTGGAGTTAAACATGTTACTACATACTATCTATAGACAGTATTTTAAATAAACTAGCTTCTCAGCCGATGAGGATGTCTCAAAGACTCTTGGGAAGAACCAGCTGGTACCCAGCAGATTTCCCATAAAGGGTGGTATTTATGTGGATCATGTCACCTATTCCAAGTCTAGCTCTTAGCTGTTCCTACTCAGAAACCCCATCTCCACAATTTTCCGAGTGGTTTGGACTTGGACAACTGAGTCACTTCGAGAAGCTCCCAGAAGTGGGTGTGCAAATTAGAATGCTAGTTTTTTTAATTTGGAAGACTTGTGGCCATCACCATCATGCAGACTAGATGGTATCTGATTCCTGCGTCCTGGGCAAGCCACATGGGAATCCAAATTTCCAGGCAGCTCGTGCTTGGCAAAGCAGCACAGGGAGGGGGTCGTCTAATAGCATGGGGCTCTCTTGACTTCTGTGGCCCGCTCATCAGTGGAGAGATACCTGCCTGGTAGACCAGTACTCCAGTCAGCCTGGCTGTGTAGGTCTCCTTGGCCAGTCTCAGGGGCAGTGTTTACTTGATAGGATGTCTCCATTTCCTCTTGCATAACTTAGCTATTTTGATTTTACTTACTTAATTTGTTTAGTGCTTTATGAGCATTGGCTCCCAGCCACACAGTTTCATTTGCATAAGTTAACCACTACACCTGGGGGTAAATGCTATATGCAAATTAAGAGGACTTGGTCAGGTGGCCTGGATGGGTCAACGGTAAGCCAAGCACAGAGCAAAGAACATGGTCCCTAATCCGCACAGGTGCTTGGGGAAGTGGAAGGCCCCAGACTGGCCACTTACTGCAGGCCCTGTGCGAGGCGAGCTTGCCTCGGGTCAGCTGGCCTGCCCAGATGGCCTCTCTGGATTTAAAGGGCTCTGTGTGATCTCTGTCCAGGCCCCCTCGTGGCTCATCTTTAGTAAGCCATAGTCTCCAGGTGCCTCGGCATCTTGGGCTTCGGAGTAGGGTGGACTTGGGTTGAGTCCTGGCTCCGCTGATCAGTGGATGGATGTTCTCTGTATTTGGGCAAGTGCTTTGACTATCTCAAGCCTCAGTTTCATCATAGGTAAAATGGGGATAACCACTCACAGGACACGTGTAGAAAGCACTGCGCACTGTGCCTGGCACAGACCTCTAATCTGGCTAGTATGAGCTCTTAAAGGCAGTCGAGTTCAGTCGAGGATCCACATTCTCTGTCGAATTGGGCCCCCAGCATCCCCATTCGTGCCACTGATGTCTGGCCAAAGGACAAGGCTATAGGGACCCAGACTGTCCCAGAGGCTTAGAAGGAAGGAGCTCATCTCATCTGAGCCCTTGCTGTCGTTTGTTCAGAGCTGAGGAGAAAGCTGCTAGTCCCCACCTTTCCACTTACTCTGGGGGAGGGAGAGTCAGGTTTGAGGCTGGGTCTGAACAGGCATCCATCCAGAGGGGAGAGAAGAGTGAGGTTTTCTGGGAGAGGAAGAAGGTCGCTTGGGGGTGCCTAAGAGGTCTGTAGGGCCCCCCTCAGCAGTTTGGGACCTGTGATATTCCCCCTCTATCCAAGTGACCCACCCCCTGCCATCGGCTGAATGGAAGCACCTCCAGGTGACATCACTGTTGCCCATGGCAACACCTCACCTCCACCTTAAGGTAGACGGGGAGGAATAAGAACCGTCCCAACTGTAAGACACATGTTGAAGGGAGGGAGCACAGAAGGTGTGACATCCACAGGTGTGTTTCTCACGGGCTGGGCGAGGGGAAGAGAGAGGGGCTGCAGTTCAGAGGTCTAGGCTGGGAGCCAGTTGGGGGTAGGTCTCTGGGCCTTGGGCTTGGCCGAGGGACTAGAGCTCAGTGCTGAGGGCTGAAATCTTGTTTAGTTCTCTGAGCTGCAACTAGGAGCAAAGAGCATGACTCCTTACAGTAGCTTCTGGCAGCTTCCATAGCCCCGGATTTCCCTTCTACAGCCTGAATCTGGTAGGGGAGAGTGGGAGGTAGGGGATCAGTGATGGGGAGATCAGGAAAATGGCTTTCCCTGCTTCTCCACCGTCACCCCCGAAGGACAGCAGGACACAAGGATGCCCATGCCCTCACTTAAGAGAGAACCTTCATTCGTTGCTTGAGTACTGGTTATGCAGGTACAATGTGCAAGGCGGTGAACGCGCTCGGGATTCATTGGCTTCGTGGAGCTTTATAATCAAAGGCACACAGAGAGGAGGAATGTCTGGGATGTGCTGCTCCAAGGGTTGGTACCAGCTGGGAACAGAAGCGAGGTTCACAGCTCACCCCTCACCAGCTCTAGCACACCCCATAGAATTTCAAGTCAGCCTAAACGAAAGCCGCGGAATCCCTTCCTCCCCAGGAGTTCATACAGGGGTTCGGAAGCGGTGGAGATAGATCCGAGATTTGGGGAGTGGTGTTAGAGAGGACAGGCATGGGTGTCAACTGTGTCCTGCCAAAGAACAGAGTCCCACAAAGTCCGAGTGTCAGAGGCGGGAAGACAGCAGGCAGACCCCCGACTCCAGGTCTCCTCCTGTGTGACTCTGTGATATTAGCAGTTGGACTCAGTTTCTCTGCCTGTTTAATGGGGATAGGAGCAGCCAGTACCAGAGAATATACAGAGCACTTTCAGATCCTCAGATGGCAGTCCTGGAAACAATACAGAGCCCACAATTTCCAGACAACTCATTTGCAGGTGAATGACATAGTGGGACACACTGGCTGCCTGGGAGGAGGGCTCAGCTTTGGAGCTATCTTGGGCTCCTCCTACTCTCTCCCCCAGGTCATTTCCCTGAAGTGGATACAGGAGTCTCCTACCCGGCACCAAACCATAGGGAGGGCGTTGTCATAATTCTAGTCCTGCTTGTTGGTATAAAACCATGCTCATAACAAACTGTCCTCCCAGGAGCCTCTTTCAATAGCCAAGAATTCTCCAAAGCAGTCAGGGAACCTGCCTGAAGTTCATGAAAAGGTCCTTTGTTTGCTGAGACTTTGTTCCAGAGTCGGTTAAGGGGCAGGACCACAGGGAGCCTGGGCTGGAGGGGAAGAGAATGGGGGATGCCTAGGCCCTACCCCTGCCTGCCACCCCAAAATGCCCCTTTCTCCCTGATGCCTCCCGGCAAAAGGCACTGTCCAGTGTCAGAAGGGCCCTCCCTCCCTTTTCCCAACGCACTGTCCTTTCAGCTGCAAAGCCAGCTCTGACAGCTCAGCTCACACACCCAGAAGCTCCGGTGGGAGAGGCCTTGAAAGCCCATTAAGTCTGATTCCCTGCTTCGTGCCCAGATTTCACTTAAGTTGGCACCTGCCCTGCCCTAAACGGTACAGGAAAGCCCCTAGGTGCGTGTAATATTTCACAGACAATCGGGTCACTGAGCAGCACAGCATGATGGGAAGATTGGAGGCTTGAAAGTCAGTCCTGAGTTCAAACCCCGGCGCTGATAATGAGTGAGGCCTCACCACACTGAGCCTCAGTTTCCTTATCTATAAAATGCAGATAGTGCCTCTTTCAGAGGTTTATTGTGCAGATGAGACCCGTAAAGCATTTTGCACAATGCCTAAATCTCTATAAATGTCCCACGTTGGCTGCTAGTTTTTAAGCTCTCCCATGGGATGTCAGGGCCAAGGGGCTGGTCTGTTCTTTTCTGGAAAGTGAGAACTGCTTGCCACTCCACCAAGGGTTGCTTCTCTGCTTCTTTTCCGGAATTTGCTTCAAATCCTGTATCCTCCATTTATCTTCTATTTCTGTAAGACTCTCAAGCAAGGAAGTGGGCGTCAAGGGGAGAGGCAGCTGGGGGTCAGATAAACTTGTGTCAGAGTTCATTCCTGGGTCGTTTTCTTGGTAAACATGGGCAGTAAGTCAGCCTACAGTTCGAAGGAGGCCATCCACACCTGAAGTAGCTGAGGTCTGTCTCCGGGCTGCATCTGGAAGGGTTTTTGCTCACATTCCCCAAGGCACTTACCACTGTTAGCGCTTTGCTTTTCTGACAGCAGAGCGCCTCCCAGGAAGAAAAACCTTAGAAGTGACTTCGTCAGGGATCTCCCACTACACCCCCATTTCAAAAAGCAATGAGTTTTTTCCCCCACTCCTGACTTCATTGATTCACTCAGCATGCATCGAGGAACCCCTGAACCTTTAATACCAGGCATCAGGGCCCCACGGTGGTTTCTCCTTCTAGGTGCTCAGAAGGCCTGGAGGATCGGTCAGTGTTGATGCTGCCTGACTGGGGGTGGGGGGGAGGGTGGCAAGCTGCGAGCTCCCCAGGTGCCAAGCTTCCTGCTCTCCCTCTGTGGCAGCCCCTGGGGCCTTTTGAGGAAACAGGGAGGTGGAGGAGGCAACCAGGCCAAGTCCCCAGGCTTCTGGAATGCTGCAGGGATGTTGGTCACCCCCGTCTCCCCAGAGGAGTCCCTAAGGTGCAGGATTTAACAAATCAAAGGGGAGACCTGGCCTTATCACCCATACCGATAACCGTGTCCCTTACGGAGCACCAGCATGTATGGGACCACCATGCCAAGAAGGAAGTACTCTTGTCACCCCAAGTGAGAGACTTGGGATTCAAACCCAGGCCCTCTGATTGCAGAGCCTGGGGCCCTTCGCTGCTGGACACTAAGCCTCTGCAAAGTGTTAAGCTCTTCTGAGCTGAAGATCTCGGGCTCTTTCTTTCTGGGTGGCCTTGGGGTGGAGTATGTCCCTGTGAACTTGGCAGGGTCAGGGGCTGCTTGCTGCCTGCCCCAGCCTGACCCACCCGTCCCTGTCATTGGTTCAGGCGCCCCCACTATGCGCCAGGCGCAGCCTCGGGCACAGACCGCGGGCATCATTCCCTCCCTGTGGCTGGCTGTCGCGGTCGTCATCATTTCGTCTAATTCACAGGGAAGAGAACTCTGTGCGGTCCTAGCCGAGTCTGGGGTAGTTTTGCCAGCAGTTCTCGGACTTACAGTGGAGGCCCCCTGCTTTCCCGGACGGGGAGTGCTGGTTGGCCCTGACTGAGGCAGCCCTGGAGAGGGCGGGCGGCCGACCGTGTCGTTCAGCCCCGGTTCCTGCCACAGAGAGCACAAGCTGAGAGGCCCCCACCAGCTCTGAGGCGTTTTACAACTGGGTTGGCCTCCATCTTGCTTTTATTAATTCCCCTTGCTATTCCCCTTGATTAAGATGAAAGGGGTTTTAGATCTTTGTAGGCGCAGAGTGCGCGCGCGCGCGCGTGTGTGTGTGTGTGTGTGTGTGTGTGTGTGTGTTTGTACATACACGCAGGAGGCCCAGAGCTCTTCCCTTCCCACCCCCCTTCCCTCCCTCTTCTCCCCTCCCCCGTCCCCCCTGCCCAGCTGGGGCGCAGGCATTGTGTCTAGTACGGCCCAAGCCCCAGGGGACCAGGGTGGGAGAACAGCCTGGGATTTCACTGTGTGGGGGCCAGAATCCCTCCAGCCAGGCCGTGAGTAAGAGGGGGCGGGTGGGGAAACTGGAAAAATCCCGGGGGCCCCTGCGCTCCCTGGAGAGACCAGGTTGTCTTTGTGAGCTGGTCTGTCTTTGTTCTCCTCCAGGGATCACAAGGAAGGTGGTGCCCAGCAGCCTGTTTCATCCCATCCATCCCCAGCTCATCTGTGAGAGCGGGAGCAGGGTGGCCAAGGGAGGGCTTTGTCTCCACTTTGTTTTCCTTTGTATTTTCTCTCTGGTTCCTGCTCAGCCCCCTCGAAGACCCTCCCCACTGAGCCAGCGTGTTTGCTGTTGTCTGGAGCCTGCTTTCCGTCACTGCGGCCTGGCCTCCCTGCCCCACAGCCCAGGTGTGGCCCGTCCTGAGCATTCACTGCTCTGCTTGGAGGCCGGGAGTGGAGGGAACGCAGGGTGGAGGGAGGGAAGGGGGACGAGTCTGGGGAGCCTTGGCGTTCCTGCCGGAGGTGGGTGTTAATGTTCCCTCCCAGCCAGCTCTTGTGGGCGAGCTGGGGCCCCGAGGCGGAGGGAAATTCTGAGAAACACTAGCTCAAGCCGAGGCAACCTCTGATGGTATATGAGGGCTGCTTCACTGTGGGAAATGGTTACCTCTGTGTTTCCATTGTTAACACGCCCCTGTGATCTCAGGTCCAGAAATCTGAGGTGGGAATCCGGGGATCAAGGGGGACGCTTTGGTGCACACCCTTTATAGGAAACGCATCCTTCCTGAGAATGGAGGACGCGTGTGGTGCCTTCTTTGGAAAGCGGGTGTCTCCAGAGGGCAGGATGTGAGCACCCTGGTGGGTCCCCAGGATCGCACGCGTCCTTGGTGCCCTGAGCAGGCAGCGCTGCATGTGGGTCTCTGCCAGGCGCTTTGGGGAATGTCAAGACAAGCCTTCCAGGCCCTGGAAGTTGTGGGGTCAGACCAGAGCTCAGGCAGCTCACTATGCTAAAAGAGCAGGATGGGGTGAACCGGGGAGATGGCGGGGTCTGGAGCTGTGGGCCTGGCACGGCCTCGGCCCCTCTGCCCTTCCCCCTCCCGGCTCTCTGGGCTCCTGCCTGTGAAATGGGGCTGCCACACTGGTGAGCCGAGCTACCTAAGGGGAGAGGCGGGAGCAAGGACTGTGGGCTCCCTGCTCTGGGACATCTCCAGAGATGCCATCTGCACAAGGCACCAGGCCTGCCCGCACTCAGAAGGGCTTAATACATATGCTGTCACCCCCTGTCCCCCCTGCCCCCACCCCCCTGCTTGTTCTTGTATCCCTTTCAAGAAAGAAGGGTTTGTCTCAGGAGTTGGGGGTGGAGAGGGATGAGGAAGGCTCTTGGAGGCCGTTTCTGAGATGGGCTTGCTGTGAGGACCATCGGGTAGGGTTTGGGTCGTGTGGTGTGGACACGGTGCAGGGAATTGGGGGCAGTACAGGAGATGTTCAGGGGACAGGCAGTAATCGGAAGTGGCCAGGGCAAGTGGGAAGAGAACTGAGGGGTCCCCCAAGGCTTGGTGGGGCCAGGCCCTGAACATCAATCTGAAAGCTCTGACCCGTGTCGCAGTGAGACGGAGAAGGGCGACCTCCGGGGAGGAGGAGGTGGTGGCTGGGGGTGACGGAGGGCTCCACCTCAGAGGTGGCAGGGGGGCGGGGTGGGGCCAGGAGGCTGTGTTAGTCTCCCAGGGCTGCTTTGACAAAACACCACAAACCAGCTGGGTGGCCAAACGACAGAAACGACCCTCTCAGAGTTCTGGAGGCCTGAAGTCTGAAATCAAGGTACCTGCAGGGCCACCCTGCCTCCGAATGCTCCGGGGGATGGGGGAGGGGTACTTCCTGGCCCCGTCCAGCGTGGGGGGGGCGCTCCAGGCCTTCCGGGCCAGGGCGGGGCAGCTTCGCTTTAGCCTCTGCCCCCGGCTTCTGTCACCTTCTCCTCTCTGTCTGTTTGCTCCTTTTCTGTCTCTTTATAAAGACACTTGTCACTGGATTTAGGGCCCACCCAGGTAATGCAGGCTGAGCTCATCTCAAGGTCCTTAATTTAATTACATCTGTAAAGACGCTTCCTTCCAAGTAAAGTCACATTCACAGGGTCTGGGTGTTAGCATGTGGACTTATCTTTTTAAGGGTCACCGTTCAACCCACTGTAGCAACTGTTGGATTCAGGGTGGCCTGGGGGAGAATAGGTGAGAGAAAGCTGGATGTGGACCAGGACAAAAGGCTGCCAGGGGAGCCCCTTCCTGTCTCTGGGGCCTGCAAGCCTGCCTGCCATGCCTTAGCGTCTGAGACGCCAGGCCTCAGTCTGTCTGTCCCAGGACACTGTGATTTCCCATGACGTGCTGTGGGGACATCAGGCAGCACGGCTGGACGGAAGGACACCCTGTCCTTCCTGGGAGATTGATGGCTTCCCTGCCTTCTCCATCTGTTGCTTGCCAAGGGATGTGTGTGAGCTGCTGATGGAAGAGCAGGACCAGGAAGGATGTGGGCTCTCCCACCCACATCAGCGGAGTCCAGGCCCCTGTCTTTCCTGCACTTGGGCCGACCAGCTGCATGACCCCAGACCAGAGGATGGGGTTGGCATCCTGGTGACTTTTGGAAACCCCTCCCCTTCTGAAAGCGGGCCTTGAGGAAACTTAGTGCTTTGACTAGTGTGACTGGCCACCCTCTGTGCGTCTGGCCATCGTGGCCACGGGGCCATGACAGCAGAGCTCACCTTGACGAGAAGACCACTCCCTTCACAGCATAGACTTTGCCATGGGCTCTCCTCCACTGGGCATGGCGGGCAGGGTGGGGTGGGGGATTGTCTCTCCTCTCTGCTCTCTCCCTCACCCCGACCAGCGTCCAGTCTTGGCCCCTGCTTCTTCTGAGCCCAGTGTGGGATCCCCCCTGGGTTAGGGAGGGGTGGTGGGGGTCTGGTTCTCCAGTCCTGGGGACCACAGACCTTAGACAGTAACACCAAGTGCTCCTGAGTGCATACCCAGTAGGCTGCAGAGTCTCTGTTCTCTTCTAGTCCCTGGAGAGGCTGTGGAGAAGGCCTTTATGTAAATCCCTAGCACAGGCCTGGCCCATGGCCAGCCCTCATAAATGCCGGTTATGATTATTCTAGGGGTGGCTGCTGGGATGACTGGGAGACACTGGAATACAGTCAGGACTGGGTTTAGGGAGAAGGGTCGAGACAGGGGGGCTATTTCAGGGAATCCTCTTCACAGAGGAAATAGTAGGAGGTGGAATTGCTGAGGGGGAAGAGTGAGGAGAGTCCCAGGGTCAAGGGCAGCCTTGAGGATGCTTCCTAGGGGATGGGGAGTGCCAGTGGACAGGAGAAAGGAGGCACGTAGAGGGGGCTGGGGACCAGGGCCCACAGGCTTTAGGTGGCCCACTGACATATTTTATTTGGCTTCCAATTTGGCTAATTCAAAGAATTTTTGAAATAGCACCCAACATTGTAAAATTGAGGGATGTTGATAAAATCCAGATTTCTGGCTTCTCTTGGGAAAAAAAAAAAAGATCATGTCATTCTCGGCACGCAGCACATGCGATGTGGTGGCTCTCCCCTTTAGACAAAGCATGTGGGACCAGTTGACCCCGTGCCCATCACTTGGATCCCTAGCATCCGCAGCCTTGCCCATTTACTACAGGGCCCTGCCCCCATCCCTCTCCCCCACATTTGGTCTTAACAACCCTTGCCTTCAGGAAGGTGACTGAAAGGAGGGAAGGGAAGGAGCCCAGTGGCCATGAAAGTGGCAGGTTGGAGGAAGGTGAGCCTGGCTGGAGGCCAAGACAGATGTTCTGCTGGGGGGGAGGGGTGGGGTGGAAGGTGTTGGGGGTGGCTGTAAGGACACGGAGAAGAAGAGACACTGGGGGCCCAGCACCTCACCCTTCAACCCATTTCTCAATTACGCTTTGTTGGTCTCATCCTTCCTCTTTCCTCACTTCCTTTCTTTGCCTGCCCTCCCTCTCCTACCCAGACTTGAGGCCACAGGACCCAGCCCCTCCCCAGTGCTGCTCAGCCCCTCCCCTGACCCTACCCCCATTGGGGGTGCACACAAAAAGGAACCTCAGCAAGAGATGGCCTTGCTGGGGCGTGGGCCAGTCTGCAAGGCCTTTCTCCT